AAGCATTATGAGGATCATGTTCTCGTTCGAAAAATCCTTCGAAGTCTCACACCGGAATGGAAGTCTACGGTCAATCCTATCAAAGAAGGCCGAGATTACAATACATTGACATATGACGCACTTCGAGGTAAACTACTCACTTATGAAATGTCTAACTTTTCTAGTGCAGCGGAGATCAAAAGGGATCAAAATCTATCATTCAAAGGAGTTGCACTCAAAGCTTCATTGTCAAAATATTTCGAGACAAGCGGCTATGGAGAAAGTGACATTCTCGAGTTATTTAATGACTTCTTGCAAAATGAGCTTGAGCAATTGAATGAGAGTACAAAGCCTACTTACTATGGATGTGGAGAGCGTGGACATATCAAGGGTCATTGCCCTAATCGAAAATTCAAGAAGTCCAAACGCCTAAAGCAATCCAACTCTAGCTCCTCCTCCTCATCCGATGATGAAGTAGCCATTTGTTTTATGGCTCAAAGTGAATCCGAAGAGGTAAGTTCTTCTAACGATCCTTTTAGTTTTGAAGAACTACAAGAAGCATTTGGTGATTTATTTAAAGAATTTAAGAAAGTCTCATCTATTGCCAAAGATTTGGAATATAAAATCACCCTCTTGCAAAAGAAAAATAATATTTTGCTAAAAGAAATTGATTTCCTCAAAATTGAAAATAAGACTTTTGAGGAGACTAATTTGAAATTAAATGATTCACCTTGTTCTTCATGTAAGTCTTCTAGTCTTGAGATAGAAGCACTTAAGAAAGAGGTAGACGATTTGAAATTAGATATGAAGAAAGTTGAAAATGAATTTAGACTAAAATCTACCTCTAAGATTAAATACTATAGATCACTTAGAAATAATCTAAGTCATTCTAGGAATTCTAAGTTTGATAGACAACCTAGAAAGCACATCACACGTCCTAGAAACATGAACAACCCTAGTGTTAGGTGTCATTATTGTAATAAAGTAGGACACATCACACCAGTTTGTTGCACTAAGTATAGGCACTTGCTTCTAAGTCAAGAGAATGTGATGCATCGTTCATATGATTTTTATTATTGCCATAATACCCCTGGACCCAAAAGGCATTGGGTACCAAGATTTTCTTCGTAGATTCATTAAGGAAGGTGTGCTTGAACACTTCGACTTGAGTTGAAGTAGATGCGCCAAGCACATAATTGGGTGAAGCATCAATTATGGGGGAAGTTGATTCACTTTATTAATTCCAACTAATGTTGATTTATATATTAGTTGGACAATGTGATATTATTTGTTTGTTTGATATCTATTTGCATGAGCATATATCTTTTTGCCAATCTCTTTTTGATAATATCAAAAGGGGGAAGATGGTGTAGATATGCATATATTCAGGGGGAATTGTATTTGTGCATATTTTAATGGGGAAGATAGTATAGATTTGTATGTCTTTGTTTGATTTATGATGCTATACTTCAGGGGTAACTAGCCTTGTATGATGCATATCTCCTAATGGGTTTGTCATTATCAAAAAGGGGGAAATTATTGGATAATGTGCTATCATGAATATGTATTTTTGCATTGTCCTTTGCCCATTGTCTTTTAGGTTTTGATAATGACAAAAGAGTGACAAAACATCATCATCATTTTGTGCATCAAGGCTAAGAATCAAAGCTACAACAAGTTCATATCCGTCCGTGAAGAAGGGACTTGAGCATCGGTGGAAGGAATGAGACCGAAGAGGTTGTTTCCTTAGTTGGGTAGTGTTTTAGGTCTTAGATTATGTGTTAAAGAGTATGGCATCTCTAAGGTTCATTCCCTTATCTTCTTACCTTTAAAACACATTTTAGATCAGCCTTTGTGTGGGGAAGTTGCCTTTCTATTCGAATAATTTTTAGTTTATTCGAATAAGTCGTGATCTTTCTTGTGACTGAGATTAACCTGTTTTATTCGAATAAACCACCACTTATTCGAATAAGTCCTGGCTTTTTACCCTGATTTATTCGAATAAATCACCATTTATTCGAATAGGAACTGGTTTTTCAAGCCACGCGATTGATCCAAACTATTCGAATAGTTCTTGAGTTATTCGAATAAGTCGACAGTTTCAACTACCAAACGGCTAGTTTTTTTGAATTCTTTTCATCTCTATCCACTCCCTAACTTCTATAAACAACCCTCTTCG